CTTGACAATGGGTGGCCGTCTTACACAGGTTTGACTGTATATGAATATGCCTCTCAACACAGATTGTGTTATTTATTAGAGAATCTATATTAATCAAATTTTGGTAACACTTCGCATTTGTCCAGCCACATGAAGTAGGCAGCACTAGCCAATGTCACAGTAACTGGGTCTTTTCCTACATTTTGTAATTCAAATAATTCAGAGATGACGTAGTGGAATAAGCACATTGTAACTCCCGTGAACATAAAAAGATACCACTGACACATATAACAGGAACTTATCTTTCAAAGTTGTTGAGAGCATCACTATCAACCGTACGTCGTGTTTTACTATCGTATCCATACAACGCACCACCACTTTCAAAGAGGAAATTTACTCGTTAATCCGATCTGTACGCTTTGCATAGCAGTCTGTCAAAATTATTTTTTGAGAAATACCGAAGGTTTCAAAGAATTCTTCGTCCTAGAAGTATTCTAAAATGTGAAGAATACTACCCCGTGGGTACAAAATGACCCCAGGGCGTATGGATAGGGAACAGAAACACAGAATCATGGAAAATGATACTCACAACATATTTGATATCAGGGTAATTGCGAGCAGCCCAGGAGGCAGTGTAGCCACCGATGGACCAGGCAAACAGGGCTATGTCCTGGGGCTCAAACCCCAGCTTTTGTATAGCGTACTGGATCACAGCATCCACTGCTTTCTGTTCCTGATCTGGGAACGGGACTCCCTGCAACAGCAAATCACAGAATGGTACATTTCCCCCAAACTACACAAAACTGAATGAGCCAGCACAAGCACTATGTGACAGTGGACCACAGGACAGAGACAAACAACTTGGAACCAATCCATATTCAGTAGTAAAAATACGTTTCTGGATACCAGGCTATCAACTACATCATATCAGTCTCTACTTTGTCATAACAAGCAGCTTCCCAAATGTAAACCATTACTTATGAAGCATTTGTGGAGATAGTTAAATAAAGTTACTGAGACAAAATGTAACAACTGCCTTAACTCCTTGTAGTCTAACTGCCTTAACTCTTTATCTCCCGAGAAGGGTTTTCCAACTATGCTGGAGTCTTCTTTTGATAAGAAACCTGAAGTGACAAACATATCACTAACATTTTGGTCATTAAATCAAAAGAAATTAACCAATTTTGATAATTCTTCATCTAATGAAAGAACTCCCGGTAAGAGAGACCTGTTTTCAACAAATGCAAAAAGTTAATAATAAAACATCATTGTCATTGTACAGGAATGTAACCGAGTCGCTGCCTGTGGCTCACCAGCACCGCTGAAAGAGGCTTGCTGGAAATAAAGCTTCAAAAAATTTCCAAAACTTGAATCTCAGCTATTTTTGTATTATTAACTCACTTCACACGGTTCACACAACAGTAGCATGACCCCTGCCGCGACGCTCCCCAAAAGCTCTGCGTGACCAACTTTGGAATTTTTTTTCCGCTCTACAAATCACGCACGGATCGCGTGACCCGCCTCGTACTTGTGTTTGGCCAGGCCTGAGCTGCTTAGACTTCATTTCGTATCTCTGGGGCCCATAGTTTTTAAGTTATTGAAGGTGAAGGACAGTGATCCCAACTGGGGTTGAACTGACCGGAACTCGCGCTTTGTTTTTTTCTATACAGCTGACAGTAATCCGACAGTCACGTCGTAGTAACGGTCGAAGAAGTCGCATGAACAAGAATCACATAATTTCGCCGTTTTCGATACTTCTGTACATTTTACTAGTTCTAGTGTCTCAAAATATGATGTGTCTGATAGTTAGGATCCAGGATATGTACCAGAACACGGTCCGAGTCTTAGTTTTAGGGCTACATCTAGCACTAGTACTGGTGTTGTTGTTCGCGCAACGAAATCACAACGTCGTGCCATACATCTGTTTCATGTAATTCAGTGTATGGGTCTGAATCAACGCACAGACCAGCTTTTATATTTTCACCAAACACTCACACATGCATACATATCAAAACAGAACACTTTGAACTTTTATTTTTGTTGCTGAGAATTTCATTCTACCCGTCATGTCTCTGGAAATTTTTTCGGAAAATCAAATTCATAACAATTTTTAAAAAATCATACAAATTAAAGTATTAGACTTTGACAACTTTAATTTTTTGTACTAGATTAAGCTTGAATGTAACTTTACTGTGTCAAAAAATAATTACAATAGGGTAATTTTGAGAATTGTGGTGATTTATTGAAATACTTCCAAAAACGCCAGTCTCCAACGCTTGTGACTGGTGAAAGAGCCCAGTAGTAAGTGAGTTAAAACATTTTCGAAAGTGTTCCATTCTGAAGTTCAGCATAACAAAACAACAAAGCATGGTAACAAGTCCCTCCTGTGCTGTATAATATAACAGCACCTCCTGTATGAGTATTGGCATCCTGAAACCTTTTGCGTGAATACAGTAAGTAGTAACTAGCACGACAGCAACCAAACCACTAACATCAAAGTCTCTGATACGAATAATAATAGCAATAATCATAATAATAATAGTAATCATAATAATGGTAATAATAATAATAATAATAATGGTTATGTTAGACAACTGGACATCTCAAACAGTGTCATTACGATGTAAATATGCAAGGGAGGAAATGAGAAATGACTGTTTGCAAATGTGGCCATAAGGGCCAGTTCGACTGTAATGATAATAATAATCACCATAATAATAATAATAATAATAGCAATAATAATTGTTCATCCTACTGATGATGACCAATACATTTGTTGAGGAGAAAAATTCGTTTAACCCTTTTCCATCACAAGGCTCATATAGTAAAAACCCTTTCCATCAAAGGAAAAGGCATTTTGGGGGAAAATTCAAAGAAACTTTGTGGTAAACATCGCCGATCTGCGAGATGTGACGGCAAAGTCTTAAAGAGAAATAGAAGGAATAAGATCATCTGTGGCTTCTGCTATGGTCAACTGACAATGAGACCAATTCTGGTAGAGAAGAGTTTGCCACATTTTGAGTATTCAAAAGGCTTCATTTCCACTTGTGGATTAGTGCAGTTTGCGGGCTTCTTTTGGCTTCATTATATTTCTTATGTGTAGCATCATACAATTTGCAGCCCTCTGTGATTGCTGTTCTCCAACTGGGTCTCTCAGGAGTTATGTCCTCCCTCACATGTCAAGGCAGTAATATTGAAGCCCTTTAAAGATATTTTCAGGGTACAGTTGTAGTACTTTTTTGGTGCACCACCGTTACATTTCCCTTAGAACAGGGATGCCACTCAACTTTTTTTTAAATAGCTGAAAATCCATGTGTCACGGTCTCGCTAACATATGAATATCAATTAGAAACCCAAAGGGTGTACATAGAGAGAAACGAAAAACAAACATAAGCAATAGGTGTACATAAAAGTGGCGACGTCTTCGTTTTTCCGTTATTTGAACGTTTGGCGCAAGTTGTTGTGGGCAAGTGGGTTTTTTTAAATTTTGTTTTTCCCCCGCTATAGGTTCTATCTCGATCCCAATAACGGAATAGCGGATCAGGATCAAAATACCGGAAAAAAGTGGCATCCCTGTTGTAAGTGAAAACTGCATTTGGGATTCTGAAATCAGTTATTCTTACAGCATGGCCAGCCTAACACAGTTGAAGTCTTCCTGGTATGAATACTGGTAGTACTTCTATATAAATATTAACCTTTTGTATCTAGCAGGAACATGCGTAGCTCTAATAGGAACAAGCAACAGGTCATGAGCTTACCGTGCTCCCTCCGAAGCCCGGGTGGTTCCAGCCAAGCACTGAGTAGTTGAGGTCGAGAGGAGTACCCGTGCAGCCCAGCTCATAGAAACCAGCGTTCCCTTCAAAAGCGATCACCTGAAGGTATTGTAGGACAATGCAAAAAAAAAGTCTTCCCCATAATCATATTTGTAACATCTGTTCAATTTTCTCTGAAAGAGGAGCAAATTTAAATCAATTTTCTTTGTTACAAAACCCAATAAAAAAAGTACACACAACAAAGCATACTCAGGCCAATTTGAAGGCAAAGCACTTAGCTCAATGGAAAGCTTTGGCAAAAGATAGATACACAGACATAATAGCAGAAAAAAGCATGCAAAAACAGCAGAGGGATAATAAAGAAGTAGAAGAAGGAAAAGACAAAAGGAAGATTCATTATACCTAAGTAAATAAGATAATATGACAAACACAATATATATACAACACTTTTGATTCCCCTTGAGAAACATGTTGTACAAGGACCCCCCCCCAAATCACACATTGTATCAGAAATCATTTCTTACGATGCCACTGCGAGTTGTCCTATTAATTTCTAGCTAGGAGTAACCCATTTTGTTCAAAGAAACACTTCAATCACCAACCATCTTAGAGTCATCACAATAACTTTTCTCGATATAATTTGCAAATCTGTATTTACTTACCACTCTTTTCATCACAAGGATCCACTGGTTGGAAATTAGATGACAAAACTCAGAACAAAATGCTCAAATACTGCAACAGTCCAGTTTTCTTCTTAACCAGAATTCTGGGACCAGGCTTATCCCAGCGATTTAATTTTCTGTGACCCAAAACTTCTCTGAAACAATTTCCACAGTTCTTGAAGTGTTTTATTTCATCATTAAAGCCGGCCAGCAGGTGAAAACCATTTTCCCAAACTGTCTCAAATCCAGAATTTTGGATACAGCAGGTTTGGCCATAAAGCCTTTCAACGGCACAGTCACTCACCAGTGTCTTCCCATTGTTGTGCTTCCCTCTCCGATCCACAAACATGGTGTCAATTTCATTTCCTCCTTCAGCCAAGACTTTTGCTCTGTGGCCATTTTTCTGTGGGAAGCAGAGAAGAGAAGTAAAAGAGCTTTAAGATGACAACCACGACAATGAAAGGTGGAGTAAACAGCTGTCATGGAATAATGTCATGTGGTCTGAAGAAAATGCATAAAGACCTCCTCTTGGATGTAATATCAAGTGCGGCTGCAAAAAGAAACAAACTAATTCAATGAAACCAAAAATGGCTACCAGTGTATAATTTAGTTACTCTTGAAGGTTATGACAAATACAGGCAGAGAGAAAAGCGAGTATCCTTGGTCAACTCTGACAGTAGAGGATTGCTTAAACAGTTCCTCTGGCATAAAATGGTAATTACGACATTTCTTCGTATATTTTGACCAAAACAACACCAGTGGCCTTCCTTTGCATCAGCAGTGAAGAAAGGAGTAATAAAATAAACCCACACAATCACCCCCCTGTTGTCTCTCAACTGTTGTCTTTGTCATCATCCCCTGTTAGGTTGTACCTTCCAAGCACCCACTCGATTTACCCACATCAATGTGCAGGCAACCATCAGCATAAACAACTTCTCACCAAACACACAATGATACTTGACATATTATTGATCAGTCTGCCCAGTATGGATGACTGTCAACATCAAGTCTGATCAGCCAGTCCATTATATCACTCCAGAAACAGAAATAGGGAACAGCACCAGTAGTATTATATGGGGAAAGGGGGGGGGGGAATTATGTACATGCAAGAGTGTAATTTTCCCACATTTTTCATTTGTTTCATTTACAAACTCTTAGACAAGCCATAACAGAGAAATTGAGATTTTTTAGGCATGTTTTGCATTAAAATATCCAACTAAGCACCATCACTGCTATCATCATCATCATCTGTCTATTAAATTAGATTCCAGACCAAAAAAGAAATATCTCAACAACATTTAGTCACTACCACTGCGGGAGATATTTGTGAGGCAGCGTGGTAAAATCAGGATCTCATCAAAATAATCAAAGTGAAGAAACTGGCATTTTCCCGCAGGTTAGAGAATTTTAATCCAGTTTTTGTTTTTTGGTTAACACCTTTCATTAAAGAATACATTTCTGTGTGAATTTTACTGACAAACGTTGAATAAAGGCACAAAAAATGTTAATTTTCAGTTTCCACGGACTCGCCAACTAATCTTTGGCGGTCATTTGCTCACCAATTTTACCTCTGAAACCAGGTGACCCCACCTCCTTCATTCGCAAATATCTCGACTTGTATTCAAGATAAATGGATATTTTTTTTCATCCAAAACAAAACAAATAAACAAGCTTTAAGATGATACCAATAACCTTGCATGCCGAAAAATTGACGAGAGCCTGATTCCACTGCGTCGTGACACATTTACCTATAATATTAACAAAGACCATCATCTGACATCCAAAATAGGACAAATCGGAGCAGTAAATAATAAAAACCAAGTATCCTACTGATTTCAAAGCAAACTGAATTTCGCCTTGTTGAGGTTATTTCATGGCAGTCACTCCCTTCACTTACCTCTTCTACCAAAGCTGCCCTACCACTGTTCAGCATGCTGGCTGGAGATGGAAAATAAGAAAATTGTTCCTTTTAGTAAAAGCAACACAATATGATCATATAAATGCTGAAGATAAGAGGCATTACAAGAGAGTGACGAACACAAAAAAGTAGGAGGAAAGATAAGGAGGATAGATGTTAAAGTTAAACAGGAAAGAAGAAGCACACCACACCAGAGCACCCGCCAACCACCAATAATAAGAAAATGATTTTAAGGTAATTTTAACAGATCAGCTCCCCCTGAGGCGAGGGGACACAATATTATGTGTAAATTGTGCACTCTCGACTCGGGTTTGAGGATCCTGTGTGAGAATCTTCGCAAGCTTAATAGGACTCGAAAAGAGTACTCGGGGCAAATGATCAGGGAGTAGAATGCTGCAATTTTAAAGATCATAATCTGCCACCTTGCTACCTACAACCCGCTTACAAATTCCAACATACTTGCCACTATACTGTCTTCCCACTTATCTCCTCTCGACACTTGTCTTGGCCCGATAAAATAGGCTAACACTAACAATGTCACCACAGCAGAAACTGAGCCCACCATTTCGGAACTTCACGATGACCGTAAAGATGGTTCCAGTAGGGAATGGGATAGAGGGTGCCCACGTCCCTCGTGACTCATTGAAGCAGAGGAAGATAGGACTAACGCTAACATTACTTAAACGCAATCCCACATCTTCACTCATCACCACCATTATATCTAAAATCATCACTGCTTTCAGATCAATGACTTAGATATATATAATCCTGGAATCTCTATCTGCTATTACAGTTACTGGTTATACTAAGTATGAACGTAAATACACTATTGGACATTATCATACACACTTTTTTTCTACTAATCAGATAGCGTGTATCTCATATAAATGGGCAAGGACCAAAAAATAAAAAAATTTTAACAGATCAATAAATGTAATGAAAAGGCACTTTATTTATCATTTTTGGAAATTGCTCTTACAGTGGGAAATAAAAAGGCTTACAAATCAAACAATTCACTTCAAACACATAACAAAAATGCATAACCCCCCCTCCTCTCTCTTTCTCTCTCTGCCCGAAGACAAAATTTATCACTTTCAACTCAGCGCTGAAACGTTTGTTTACACTGGTATCACGGGCCGTCACGCGCTAAGAAGACGAGGTAGATCTAGCGCCCAAGTCTCGTTCAGACGCGAGATAAGGCAATTGAAACATCTTGGTAGTATTAAGACAATCTTTAATAACATCACGGCCCTGCATTTCTATTGTTAGTAACTTTGTCACCGGCCTTCCGATGAATGATAATAATCAAATAATTAATAAAGGGTGATAGATCTAGGGGATCTACAACAATGTAGTCAACTCACGAGGGAAACCTCGGAAGAAGACAAAAATAGATGACGGAAAAACATCACCTATGATATAGTTTGGGCCAATCACAGAGGTGTGTTAAGTGCTCTCAGTAGCTTCATGTCGCTCGGAAGGCCGCGAGGCCGTGTTTACACTACCTAATTGTACTAATACGGGGTGCCTACTACGGATGGGATAGCTCGACTCGGTCGCCTCAAAAACAAACTTGTTTGTTTTCAGTTTCAGGAGATCGAGTTGGGCCATCAGCCCGATCCAGCCGTAGTGGACATCCCGTATAAGACTAAGACTAAATCTAGGTGACCCGCTATGAGTGGGCGAAAAATGATAGCCACTCAAGGTCGCAGAAATCCCTACAGGCCAGTAGCGTGAGGCTACTCGACCAAATTCAGTCGACTAGCCTGACGCTAGCCACCCGACATCGGGCGAGTAGCCTGGAACTAGTCTCCCGACATCGGGCAAGTAGCACCGGCCTAGCAAAAAATAAAACACTCATCACAACTTTTCTTTGCTCCATGTGGGGGCAAACTGAGTACCAGAATCTGTTGGGAGGTAAATTTATGACAGATTAGCACTCTGATAGGCAACACTGTGTCATCTGTACCATCTCAGACAAGTAAAATATCTGTCCCCATGGATTTAAGGAAATAGGCAACACTGTGTCATCTGTACTGCATCAGACAAGTAAAATATCTGTCCCCATGGATTTAAGGAACACCTTAGGTGTGCCAGAAATCATTTTCACGATCTACAGACCATAATCCAAAAGTCTAACGAGGCCATTGACTGCACAAAAAGGGGGTGGGAAGAATAAAAAGACAAGAAGACACCCCCCACTCACACACGGCATAGTTCATCAATGATGTAGCTCCTGGGTAGACCATCCTTCTGCCAAATGAATGCATCGCCAAGTAACTGGGAATGGAAAAGAAACAAACAGACCCATGAGCCTACCCTCCAGACTGCCACAGGTCATCGTAAGGGATTCTTGTAGGTAAAATTCTCAACGCTATTCTTTTCACATGTAGATTTGTCGCAGCAAGTTTAAAATGTACATACTGTCCATTCTGTGCCAACAACAAATCAGTCCAATAAAAACAACTGTACATTATTTTTTTTTAAACAACCAAAAACCACCACTTCCCCCAGCACTTTATTTTCTTTATCATAACGATAACTTTTCTCCTGGACAGTATTTTTTTTTTTTTTAAAATAGTAGAGGGTTTTACGGCGCTCGCAACTGCATAAGGTCATATGAGCGCCAAGGGGTGAGTGTCAACAGAGATATCTTTACAAGGAATCAGATTTAAACTGCTCACCTCTCTAGCTTCAACAGCACAAGGTCTGCTTCGACTATCTAGGCATCCCAAAATAGCAGGTCACAAGAGAGTGACAAACATACAAAAAGAAGTAGAGGAAAATGACAATAGTAAGGATCAGGAAAGAAAAAGCAGCAGTTCCCTGTTGTAGATCAGGCACAGTTATGAGTGTGACATGAGTCAGCCCATTTACAATTCTATTATGCTTGAACGAGAAATGTCCCCCTGTGGGAATGGCCTAAAGACACTTCAGTCAGTGGCACTGCCCCAGGGGGGGGGCTGGACAGTATGTGTTCATTTTGGATAAGTTTAACTGTATATTGAGATGCAATCTCCAACGAAAGTTAATGTTTGTAACTCAGTGGGTCTTGTGGTCTCAAGTGAAAAGATGTTAGAGGAGCAGACCCAATCTTAGCATTCATCAAACACCTGCCTGATTGCTGTAACTCAACAAAAACTATGTCCATGCACTCACTTAACCCTCTGCGTGCGGTCCCTTCCTCATCCGACACGAGAGTAGAAACTATACCGCTGACATGAGAATAGCCATTTTTTGAACTGCTGGTGACTACAGTCCACCAGTGCAATGTTTATAAGTGCCACTGGCCATGCATTTCGCATTCGGGGATCGGTCTGGAGTTTTTTAGCAATTTTCTGGGATATTGTCTACAGTTTTCAAAATGTCAGATTTGTCAGCTGATTTAGACACAGATTTACCCAACATTTTTCTGGAATCGGATGACAGTGATAAAGAGTTTGAAGGATTAGGTCCTCAAATAAAAGATTTAGATCTACGTGTGAACGATGGGGATATATCGTGTCGTAGATCTAGCGAGGTTAAGCCCAGAAGGGGACGTCGATATTCTGCTGATCTCCAAGCAGGCTGGACTAAAAATGATGAGGATTTTGATACAAACAACAACAACATCATAAAAAAACACATCTGACCAGACATAAGGATAGTTCATTATTTAAGACACATTTTTCCTCCTTACTGTAATTCGAAATTATGGTAAATAAGAAAGATATGAGCTTTTTTTATAACCATGTTGAAAATTAGCATTTTTCTAAAATAAACCCAGCAATGAAGGGAGGTAATGGTAAAAATGGCTTAGCGCTAAGAGGGTTAACATCCACACCATCAAAGTAGCACTACAAAGACGTAAAAAGTTCAGAGGCCCCCCCCCCAAACACCTTTCAACTACCCTCTCCTTCTACCTGAGAAAGCGGCAAGGGATACTGCTGCGCTCCACCGCCTGAGCCCGTCGGCTGTTCACCACAGCAGGCTTCTTTGCATTTTTCTTGTCACTGAAAGAGAACAGAGAGAAGCCAGCATTTTGATGAGCCTGTCTTTGTGCACACTACAGTAAAGTTTCTTTGGTGTTCTGTTTGTCTGTTTGTATGTATGTCCATTTTTATTTCTGGTGGGGAGGATGATGTGAAGAAGGGAAAAGAGGAAGAGGTATATAATATATACGTTTATACGTTAAGTGGTAAAATATTATCTAAAACCAATAATTTGTCATTTATTAGCTGTTCGTAAGTTTGTCCATTAGATTGTGTACCTTTTAAAAAGGTATAGGGTGGGTGGGGGTAAATACAATTAAATTGTAAAGAATAATTTTAAAACAATAATTGTCATTTACTGAAGCAAAAGTCACATAGATTCAAGATGCAGTCAACATCAAATCAGCACAATAATGGGGGGGGGGGGGGGGGTGCCAAGGACTGATTTGGATAATGGAAACAAAGAGAAGCTGAAGAAGCTAACCAGAGCTAGTCATCAGAGACTAGAATATTGGGGGAAGCAGAAACTAAACTGACAGTTGGACAAATAGTCGACCCAATTCAATGTCACTGTCACCTGCCAACAACATCACATTCTCACCCATACACATGTGTGTCTGCCAACAGCATTTCAGAGCAAAAATATTCACTGCAAAATCACCTTCAAAGCCACATGCTTTCCCTACAGAGGCATACCACATGAAATATTCATGAGCTTTTATACAGGTACAGTTACAGAGCGTACAGCAGCAGTGGCCAGTCTCACAAGCCCTGGGGGCATTATGTACTAATTTATTACGCTTTGACATTATTCAGTAGTTCATCCAACCCTTCACACATCCTGGCTTTGATCAACCTGGATTACCCATGAATATTTTATGGAGACTACATTTCTTTAGCTCTGCTGTCTCGTGCTGAAAAATGACACTAAAATTTTGCTTTAATCATGATGGCATAGCTTGACAAAAGTTTTCTGTTACAAAGTCTTAACAGTTGAAATATAATTGCTGGTATGACATAGGAATGATGAGAGAGGATATTTTTAACCCTGAAAAGTACCACTGTGTGACAAAGGAGCTAATATATCTGGGGCATGAGCATTTATCGGGTCCAGAGGGAAAGGGAAGGGTGTTATTACACTCAATTGGCTAATATAATACACAAATCAAAGTCTGACACATATCATTTTGCAGAGCAGAGCTGTAGATTATTAGCTCATGTGTACCATAAACAATGCGACGTGTGCAAAACCATTCATGATGTATTTGTTTGAGCTAAATAAATTCGATAATGGCCTCATTTCAGAACAAACAGATTAGGAGATCAGTAACACTGAAAAGAGTTGAAAAAGTAGACAACACTACAACGCCAGCCAAGAACCTAAAACATTGAACTTCTGATCTCAGAATAAAATCATACCTAAAATGATGGCGCTAGGGTTTCATGAAAATCACTGAAAATTTACAAAGTTGTATTTGCATGAAGATAACAATGTGTTTTCTTGATATTCTATTTTCTAAAATACAATCCCCTCCCAAGTTGCCCTGTAAATGTCTATTGGATCTAAAAGAAAGTAATTGAAAGAACAGAAAAACAAAAAGGAAAGACTGCATCTCTGAACATGTGCATAATAAGTTAATAACTGACCTTGAGCTTCCATCGTCCCACCTGAAGTCCACAGGCCACGCCCAGAACTCAAAGTCATAGCCAGCAAGCTGTTTCTAGAGACAGACAAAAATAACGATGCAAGTGAAGACAGAGTCTGACTATATCTCTTTATAATAATAGCAATAATAACAACATTTAATAAGCACATATATACATGCTCAACAGCATGCTCTGTGCACTTTACAACTATATTATCCCACTAGACAAGAGAACACTCTAAATATTCTCAGCTTCCCTGGTAGCACTCTGTCAAGTTTAACTGCCATGATATAGGATTGCCTGGAACTCTCTACAGGTCCAGTCCTGGTTAGCTCTAAAAATTGGTCTCATTTCAAATCATACTGACATATCATGGCGACGTCAGCCTAAAGGTTACGTTGATGGCCTGCAACTGTAATGCCACGAGGACGAGTCCATATGTTATGTCCTAAGAAAAAACCCTTGACACAGCTGGGAATGAATATTTGGCAAAGACAGTCAAATATCTTGTCTCAGCGTGTTGATATTCAAGCATCTGAAATATGGCAGTTTGCACTGATGCTTCCCAATGAAACCAACAATGTTCTAAAATGATATAAGGTCTGATGGGTTAAAAATACATATTAATTGCACACTGAAACTTCTTTCCAGTGAATACAAGAACTATGAAAATGCAATCTATCATTATCATATACACAGCAGACAGGCAGAACCTTATAAATAGCCATGCACACAAGGTCTTGCCTTGGAGTCCACGGTTGGCTTTTCCCGAGCTGCTACCAGCGCACTGATGAAATCTCTGTACTCTGCATTACTAAAGCGGCCAATACCTGAGAAGATAAAAATGGTACCATATCAGCATAAAGTAAGAAAGGAGCCTCCATATAAACCAGGGCATACCACACTTTTTTCAAAGTGGACTGGATAACTATTATGTTCAATAAAATATACCAATGTGTTAAATGAAAGATTATATTTATGGGCGCATAAAAATTATAATTTCTTAGGGCCACATTTTACATAGTGAAGAGGGTTAGAATAATATCAAGACTGGAAAGAATTAAAAGGAAAAGTGCTCATCATAGCATTTAACAACCAGTTGAGCACCACACGACACATACTTTTTCTCTCAAAGTGCTGGGCATGAATGTTCATGTACTTTGATATTTTTCCACAGATATCAATACAAAGTTTGGAAAACTCATTCCCTCATCCACATAAAAAGTTGTGAAAAAAAGTTAAGTTGACAAAACCTTCATCTAAAAACCAACAAAATATGTTGTTATAAGAAACAAGTGACTCTTCGGACTCGAGTCCGAATATGAAAAAATGTTATTCGGACTCTGATTCTTGTCCAGCATGACATCACTTCCGACTTCCTGTGACTCGTGACTCCGGCTTCCTGTCCTGCCTCACTCATGACTCGCCTCAGGCTGGGTAGAGACCGGGATCACTTCGGGCAAAAGGGCGTTTTGTGCAGGGGCCGAGTTTTTATCTTATGATGAATTTGAGGCCGGCCTTTAAAGTTATAGCGCTTCTAATAAATGTTCATTTGTCAAGAGGTCATCAGAAGCAATTAAAGATGGCTCATTAGCGTGTGTCTGGGTCGGATGGGCGGCCTGCACACGTGTGGCAGTGTGCGTGTCGGGGAGGGGGGCACTATCAGTCCGGGCGTTGAACGTCGCATACGCATCAGTCTTTTTTCCCCCGGCAACTGATCATTATTACAATAATAAGCTAGTCTTGACGTAGATCTACGTAATGAATTGTGCACTGGACTATGGAATCAAAAGTTGCCGTATGCTCAGCTCTACACAGCAACACAACCTTTTCTTTGTAGACAATCGAGATGACACAGAGGCTTGTGTATTTGAAAGATTCGGTCTTTTTTTCTTTTACACAGCTCATAATATGCAGGTGCCAGGTGGTCTGCTAATCTTCAATTTTACCTTTTTCTATAACAAAGAAAGTGAGAACATGGGGGGCGGGTGGGGTGGGGGGGGCGTATCAATGACACGGCGGGCATCGGATCGGCAGAAAAGGTGTGGGGGAAACTAAAAAATGGCTGAAAATTGGAAGCACTGAACGTTAGATCTATAGAACGAAGACACTTTCTTTTTTCCGGACCCGAGTTCGAATAACATATTTTCATATTCGGACTTGAGTCCGAATAAGAAATTTTTTTATTCGGACTCAAGTCCGAATATGAAAAAATGTTATTCGGACTCGGGAAAGACGGAAACATGGAAAATGTCACATGTTAGTCTTTGCAGCATGCTTACCTCTCAGAATGTATGCAATGGCATAAACTACAAACATAGACAGAGCAACTCTGAGAAGACTCCCTGCTCCTTCTTGTGTAAAATACCCTGAAAACAGATACCATGAACATACAATCGTTAGATTGGCTGTCTTTTCAAGTCAACAAACTATCCATTACCATTATTTTACAGAAAGTTTCTAACAGAAACTGACAAAGACATGAATGAAAATTAATATATTCTGATGAATAAACCATCCAAAGGATATAATGCAAGCAAAACTACATAACTGGTGTTTACCATCAAAACAAAAATCATTAATCAAATCAGTTATCAAAAACTATTAAACAATAAGATTGAAATGAAAAGTAAAGACAAAATTAGTCTCTTCTGTCTCGAGATACTGTTCCAGAGCTGGCCACTTTGCAACAAATGTTATACAGACCATAATAATAATAGTAACCCTTCTACCTCCCCCCCCCTCCCCTTCAGTCTACCCGCCCTTCTTCTCCTCTTTCTCCCCTTCACCCCCCCCCCCCCCCAAAAGAGTGACCAAAAAGTCAGCACTCACCTTTTCTGTACAAGATTGCTCCAATAACTGGTGACGTCCAGTACGATACGCCCAGGGCTGTGTTAAACTGTGAATGACCAACACAGTATTGTTTTATGGGTACATAAAAAACAAATATAAATCAAGACTTTTGTTCACAACTTAGCATACACACACAGAAAAGTTAAGTTATTAAAAATGTTGCTTGACCTTCTTTCTCAATAGCAAAACCACTCTTCCTGTGATCATTCAAGCTATCAAGCCAATAATCAGTCATACTTTATCACCGTATGAGTCCAAAATATAATGTAAGGACATTTAGGCCTACCTGTTTCTTGCAGGAATTTGTAAAGAAACCACAGCCAAAATCGGATTTGACCTACAACAAGGGCAGTGTAACAGACATTAGTCTCTCTTTCAACTTCAGTAAATGTGATATGTGTGTGTGCCTGAAAAAATTAGGTAGATGTCGCTAATCAACGAAATGAGCAAAAGATGAAAAACCATGACAAATGTATTTTGTATCCTTTTTTTGTGTGCCTTTATTCAAAGTTTTCCAGTAAAAATCCACCCAGAAATGTGTTCTTAATTGGACAACAATGGTGTTAAGCCATAAAAAAAACTAAAATTTGATAAAAATTGCCAAACCGGCAGAAACTTGCCAGTTTCTTCAATTTCATTTTGTGAGTGCCTGAATTCACTACGCTGCCTCACAATTTTGTACGTCATAAAAAAACAACTCTCATTCTACATATATAATATAGTCTCTACGGAAAGACCTGCTTCTTTAGTTTTAGAACATAGTATTTTCGAGGCATCTGTAATAACTGATCAGACAAAAAACATACCAAACTTGAGATAAGATATTAAATTCCAGCATATTATTGACACAATAGTGTGCATCATTTGGACATTTCATCAAGATTTGTAAGATCAGTAAGCCTCTAAACGGATTTAATTGACACTTCTCCCCTCTAAATTGTAGACCTGTCACTCTATGCAATCTAAAAATCAGAGGCAAAAAATCGGGATCTAGATCTAGTGAAAAAAATCAGGATCAACAACAAAGACTGCCAAGCTGACTTTAAAATTTTCACAGGTGTCCACAAAATATGCATATATGAATAATATACACTCTGAGCGTGTTTGCTTGTCTGTGTGTGTGCGTGTGTTTTATCTTTTTTTTTTTTAATCCTGAAGTATGACATCAAGCACTTCTAGTCCAAGTGTCTAACACACTCCCCCCAACTCCCAATAGGTCCCTACCAAAAGACACTTCAACCAGTGTGCATGAACTTAAGTTGACCCTGGCGACGAACAGTCCCTGACACATGTGGAACTCACACACCAAAGTCACGCCACGTGATGCAAACGCACGATTGCAACAGTTTTACTGACGGGTCTTGATGACGGGCCCAACTAACTAGACCTTGGAAGAAGCTCGTTTTAAAAGTAACAGCACAAATACAAATATTATCGATTATATAATATGTGGGTTGCAATTGTAACAGTTATCAGGCCATCATCTGAGAACTCTGAGAGGTAACAAAAGCGAAAATAGATCTTGAAAAAGTCGGAAAGGCAATTCGATACAACTTTGATTATAGTTGAAATAAAACGTTCAAGCAAAGATCCAACACAACTTGGGGCGAGTCAACTACTATATGCGGCATCGAATTTTGGAAAATAATGCTCTGAGTTCCCCTGCTGATAAAAAGTTCAACGGGAGCTGCCCATGACAGAGAAGAAGGCAGAGTAAGTTTTTAGAAAAATCTGGCGCAACAGACGGAACAAAAAAATCAGTCCACACATGATCAAAATTGGGATGCTTGAGATGTGGGGGAAATAAAATTGTAATATCCTGATTAAATCAGAATGAGTGGCAGGTCTGAAATTGATACCTAATTCATCAATTTGTGACAAATAAAAGAGAGGTTTATGGACATTTATGTGTTCTCCACTCTTCAGCTTTTGACTGATTGTATAATTCTGAAGCCTTAGGACATGTATTACAAATTCAGTCACTTTATCACTTTTTTTTCTTTTTTTCCTTTTTCCTCTGATCTCTTATATATACTTATACCATTGGTGGATTTTAAAAGCAATTACCAATGTCTAAGGAAGGAGCAACAATTTTTTTTAAACTATGTTCCTCAACTTTAGACGCTTTTCTTCTGCAAACTCTATTTTGAATAGTAGTAACCCCTTAACTTCGCTGAAAATTAAAATGTCTTGAAAATGTAATAACGATAATGTAGAAAATTAAAGTACTATTACACATATTATGTATGGAAAGGGGAATGAGAGAGATGACGTTCACTTGGAACGAGTTTGGAAGGATGGCACAGGACCAGTGGTGAAGCGTCTATATGATCAAATAATCACTGCTTCCCTTCCTAATTTTGAAACGTTGTAGCAGTCAAATTCACCCATAAACGTAAACCTTATAAATTAAATGTAAAAAGACGTTTATAATCAACCATGAAAAGTATGCCTAACCTTCAAAACGGTTTCACTGCCACAGAAATAGCCTGCTCACCCCTCTCTGGCCACTCCATAAGCAGTCACAAGCTTTGATAAAGTAAGCTTAAAGTGAGGCTGGAAGAGTCTACCAATAGAGTAGAAGGGAATATGTGCATAGCGGTCAAAACAGTTTCATTGCCACATATACCCTGTTCATCCCTTTCGGGCCACAGTTATAATCATTCTCAAGCCCTGATTATGTAAGTGAACTATTACACTGGTCGAGTCTACCTTACAGATGTGAGGGGAACTAACTCCTAATAATCTCTTTACTGCTGCTAGTGCTTGTATTTTTTTCTCGACTTTTTACCGTCCTATAATCAGATCGTGACCTCGATTATGACACCGGCTCCTGGCCGCGAAAAGCTAGACAAAAAGGAAACAGCCAAAAGCGAAATTTAAAAAAATGATAATTGTCATGTTCTACCAAAGAGTTAGACTCACTGGTAGATCTATAACATATAGATCTAGTACTGACATCTCTGCTTCCTTGCTTTGGGTTTGTGTATTCACTTCTAAAGTTAAATTTAATTTTAGTTGGAATTGATATTTAATGAGATACTTTTCCGATTATTTTGGCGGTTGAATTCCAGATTAGTTTTCATTCAAACAACTTAAGAGTCACCGCCTCGAGTAAGATTCTTGTGTGATATCTCCAGGCCATAATATCTAGTCCCTTTGATTACCCTGTCAAACAAGTCAGCCTTCGCCTCTGCACGGGACAGATAAATTGAAAGAGCTTGTATGTGGCCTATACCCTGCCAGGGGCGAAAGGCATTGATGATTGATTATACACATTATGACAGTCTTAGTTTAAATAGTTACAAAACTGCAATGTGCTAGTTTTCCCTGGTACCCACACATTTATGACTTTTTTTTGTTACCAAACGCCCCTTCCCACATGTTACAGTAATATGCAGAATTTCTAATAGTCTGAATGATTATTAAAACGTGAAAAACAATAAGAGTTGCACAGCTCAGAAAAAGATGTTGACATCAATGTGGAGATGTTTTGGGGGTTTTCGTGGTTAAGGTAAGGTATTCGCCTCTCATTCAAAGGTCCCCGGTTCAAATCCAGGTAGCGACGGAAAAAAATTACTTCTCTAAAATTGTCTCCTTTCACCTTCTTTCCTTCTCTCTTGCAATATTCTGTCATCTGCTTTCCTCTCCACTTTCTTCCCCCACCCCCCTCACCTCCTTTGCCCCCTCCTCTAGGATCCTGACTATTTCTGCAGCCTTTCTACTGCTACTCCTTGGCTCCTTCACACTGCTATCTTTCAGCCACACCCCTGATCTTATGGTAGGAAAGATCTACACCTAGCCTTCTCGGACAAGGGCGAAAAATCTCGGAGGTCCCGTGTGCAAGTTGCGCACGTTAAAGATCCCTTTGCCGTTCAAAATCATTGAGTAGGCTTTGGCTGCTACCTAGGCAAAATTCATAATTTCCTACCAATTGAAAATATTTGGTGTGTGCCGCCCGCTCAAATGACATTATGCAGTTGCGAGCACTGCAAAACACTCCCCCCCCCCCCCCCCCCCCCCCCCAAAAAAGGGGGGAAAAAGGGAGATGTTTTTTGCTGATTCAGCACAGTAATGGCCACATTTCATCACCATCAGATTAGTTTTTGCAAGAGTTTTATGGCACTTGCAACACAAAAAGTTCATAAAAAGCAAAAGATTAGAAGTGTTACTATAGATCTAGACTAACAAATGCATGAAAGGAGGAGAGATCTCCAAAGGCGATAAATGTTTGGTAGGAAAGAAGGAGCAAACCACATCAGAACACCCACAAACCACCCGCCATTTTATCGCACAAAAAAATCAGTGCAATTGTACCACTAAAAAGAAGCAATGGGAGCAGATCTTATCAGAGTGCTTAGTAATCTCCTACCAATGGGAGATGGTTCAGACAGAGAGAGGATTTGTCACTGAAAACTTACTGTTGAGATAATTTTGTCTGGAAAGGACTCCAATACACCTGGTACATAATCATGGCCCTGTGGAGAGACAGTTAAGACAAACCATTAGTTTTATAGTAGGCCATTTGCCTTTTGCAGCCTTTCTTTCAATCTACAACAGTCAAACCTGCTTTAACGGAAACCTGTCCAAGATAGAAACAAAATTCCCATATGAGTCCTGAGCTATACAGTTGGTCAGGGTGGTGTGGGGGGTATGACATATCATTGCTTTTGTGGAAGCGCTTGAGTGGCACTCCAGTACAGAAACTTCCTGGGTGGCTTAAGGGGTGAAATTAATTTGACCACTACTACCTGTGACCCTTTCCTTGAATAGTTATTACATGCAGGGGAGGGATGGCAACAAACAGCCCTGTGCGGCTGGTGCCATTCAGATGTTTTTGTGAGTGTTAATGGTTAATGGTTCTAAAATATAGATCAAATCTCTATGGTACAATATTATATTTTATCTGTCATCTGATATGATTTTTGCTGTGGAATATTACAGCAACTTATGAATCAGCAAAAAAGTGTGTGAGAAGCATAACCAAAGTGGAAGAATTGAGGTCAAAAGATAGAAGAGGTAGGGGATGGATACCATTAACAAGCAGAAACTAGTACTGCATGCATCCCATGGTGATAGTAATATACAGTGGACACCATGGACACAGTTGGACAATGTGGATTTTGCAGACGACTTTGTGCTTCTGTCGCACACCCAGGAACAGACGCAAGCAAAGCCTTCAGTATTAAACAGCCTATCGGAGTCTGTTGGATTGAGGATCTACCCCGAAAAGTCAAAGGTCCTAAGGACAGATGCACAATGAAAGGAGCAGGTCACAATAGAAGGAAAGGCACTAGAAAACATTGAATCCTTCTGCTATCTTGGAAGTACAATTGACAGAGAGGGAAGAACAGGTGCTGAAATAAAGTCCCGCATTGGAAAAGCACAGGTTTGCTTTCATATCTTTGAATAGGGTGTGGAAGACCAGAGATATCTCACTTCAAACAAAGCTGAGGATTTTCAATTCAAATGTGAAGTCGGTCCTGTTGTTTGGATGTGAGACATGGAACACATCACTGACTCGCATAAAGAGGATCCATGTTTTCTTGAACGGGTGTCTAAGAAAATTACTGAGGATCAGATGGACAGACAGGGTCACCAATGTGGAAGTGTTAAGGAAAACAAGACAGATCCCAGTCAGAGATGAGGTAGGAAGAAGGCGGTGGCGATGGATTGGACATACTCTCAGAAAGTCAGGCAGCTGCATAACAAAGAAAGTTGGATTGGAACCCACAGGGTATGAGATCAAGGGGAAGACCGCGTAGAACCTGGAGAAGAATCACAGAAATCAATGTATAGAAAAGTGGGAAGACATGGAATAACATCAAGACGCTAGCCCAGGATAGAGAAAGGTGGAAGGTGATTGTCCGTGGCCTGTACCCTGGTGCAGGGTGAGAAAGGAAATGAGATAAAAATTATATTCGGAGTCGAGTGCAAGCCAAGTTACAAAACTAGATCTAGAAACTCCAGATTCTAGTCCTAATAGTGTAGGCCTGTAGTAACAAATATAATAATCATTATAATACAGCCTAGCGGTATTTTTATAGTACCCCTCCCGTTTCACATATACTTCCCATTTTGTTTTTCTCCGACGTATTTTGGGCTGATAAAGACGAATATGTTATTTAAATTCGTCGCAAATTGTTAGTTTTCAAGTTATTTACATTTAAATACCGAACTCTTTCATGTATCAATCCGTACATTTTGTCGCGTTTCGTGTCATTTTGCCGTGGTTATGCGTGGTTGCGCATGCGCATGCCGAGTACCGTTATTACGCTTGCGCATGCTGTGTGCCGCTATTACGCAGGCACATGCTGTGTACCATTATTACGCATGCGCATGTCGTGTTTCCGTACACTCCCGCCACTGATTTTGGATGAGAATTCAGTGCTTGTTGCAGAAGTTGACATAGCCACGTGTGATTCCTGCGACTCGAACTTTTACAAGACCATCGCAACATTTTACAAAAACGACGAGAGTGCTTCTATCGCTTTTCTTCGAGATCATTGTGTTCTAACGAAAGAAGTTGTGTGTCCTAAGTGCCAGCATCGGTGCACATTTGGAGGTGCAGGGCAAGATTCGTCATTCCCAAGACCAAGAAGAGGAGATACTGTGACTTCAGTGTTTCTAATTACAAGGGAACTTTTCTGTCTTCTTGTTACTTCGCTCCATGGAAACTGGTGCTTCTTGTTAATCATTTCTTAAGCCGTCACTGGGATCACAAGACTGCACAAGTGTCCGGGTCTATCACCGAATACTACAGTGGACTGGCGGTCGTTTTGTCGTGAAGTGACCGAGGAGTGGTTTTCCAAGCAGACGGCGATAGGTGGAGAGGGTGTGGAGGTGGAAGTGGACGAGACGCTCATAGTTCCCAGGAAGCACGAGAGGGGCCGTGTGCTCAGCCAGGTGTGGTTGTTTGATGGGATTGAGCGCAACTCCAAGGGACGGTTTGTTATTCCTCTTACCCTGTGGAGAATCATATTAAGGAGTGGGTGAAGCGGCCAGGAATTCGCTCCCGATACCTCAAGCAATACCTTGGGAGGTATTTGTTTGTCAAGTCCATGGGTGAAAGCACTGACAGGTCCAAAAACCTGAAATCCAAATTAGTAAAAATGCTACGCCTGAAAATTACACACGTTGAGAAACGCCGTCAGATAAACACACACAATATTATGAAATACACACATTCCTTCAAGATACGTACATGTAGTACATGTACTTTCATCAATGCATTCCTTTGACAAAAATCCATCCAATCGGGCTCTGGGTCCGCAAAACAGCAATGTGCTATTCCAGGATGTTAATTTTTCAAAGATGTATAATTAACTAACACTACAAAGTATCTTATCACAATCCCCACTGAGACACATATTTTCTTTAAAATGTCGTGTCACTGTACTGTCATAGTCCACATTTGTACTTTTTGAACTACAACTTTGGCTTCTTGCTAAATAAGAGTTCAGCAATGGTGCATGGTACTTGTGCACACATTGTTTGGGGCTGTAGGTTGGGCTGTTGCAGTTGATGGTGAAATCGGCTGGACATAGAAATCATTTGGTTATGTACGAATGTAGCAATGGACAAATTCTAGGCTGCACCAAGGAAGATAACCAAGCTGGACAATCAGGTCAAAAGTTACATGAATTATGCCCCCTGATGCAAAACCGGCGTGTGTGATGGATTCAAGGCAATTTAATTTCTAAATTTTAATGCTGTAGTCCTCAGTCTTAACTACTCTTAACAGAAATAATTTGGCTTGACATAGAAATAAACTAGTCAACAAAAGTAAAGGAACGTACTGTAAAAACAGTGATATATTTGCATGCATTCTTTCGAGGTTTTACTTTTACTAGTAAAATTAGATATTGGTGAAATGTTACTCTATGACTAATGGGCTTGTACACACCAGGGCTTGAAGTGCAAGTGACTCCTGTGCGATGAGCTGGGGACGGGGGCAAAAAGGTCCAATGTTTTCCAATTATCGATTTTGTTCTCTCGCTCTAACCGTCAAGAAAAATTATGAACGTTCAAAAATCAGTTTTCAAATGCAAGATTCATGTCTCGAGAGTGACTTGCACTCCCTCATTTGCACTGTGGATACACCATTCTGCTGTTGTAGGGCTAAGCATAAACATGCCTCCTCGACAGAAACTGTCTGATGTAAACAAAGGACGAGCCATTGCTTGGGTACAAGATGGTGTTTCACTCCGACAAGTTGCTACACGCCTCGAATGTCCGTTTCTGTCATTTTATGGCCGATTCAGCGTGCCAACACCACTGGTAGTGCCCAAGAGCGACCTAGATCAGGTCGACCAAGAACCACTAATGCAAGGGAAGACCGATTCATTCACAGACAGGCTCTGCAGTCGAGATCCGCTCCTGCAAATCGCATCCAGATTTGAGAGTGGCTGAGAGTGGCAACTTGTGTTAACATTAGTAGTCAGACAGTATGAAGACGTCTTCATGAGTTTGGACTTAATGCACGTCGACCAGCAGTCCGTCAGCGTCTCATCCCAGCAAACAAGGCTGCTCATCTTGCCTTTTGCCGACGCCATGTAAGATGGACACGTCAACAGTGGGCAAACGTTCTCTTCAGCGACGAGTCCCGGTTCTCTTTGCATTACAATGATGGTCGCATCAGGGTTTGGAGGCCACCCGGAGAGCGGCTCCTCGATGGAACAGTCAGAGAAGTGATGCCTTTTGGAGGTGGTTCCGTGATGGTATGGGGTGCTTTCAGTCTGAACCACTGAACACCTCTGTACCATGTGCAAGGAAATCTCACTGCAATACGTTACCGAGATGAGACACTCCGTCCATTAGCACTACCTACTATGCAGCAGATGGGACCACAAGCGGTGTTCCAGGATGATAACGCCGGACCTCATAGAGCGTTGCTTGTTCAAAACTTCATGCAGCTGGCTGACATTAACCTAATGGACTGGCCGGCCAGCAGTCCGGACTTGAATTCCATAGAAAACCTCTGGGATGAGCTGCAACGTCGTGTCAGAGACAGCCATCCCCCTCCAGGAGACACGCAGCAACTGTTTCAGATGCTGCAGGCAGAGTGGCAGGGGATGCCTCAGAGAGTCACCAACCTCATGAACTCGATGAGGAGCCGGTGTACTGAGTGTCAGGATGATCGTGGTGGGCATACTCATTATTGAAATCATCTGAACTGTTTTGGTTTTTTTGTAGTCAGAAGTTAAAATAACTTCGAAACCACTTGACAATTTTGGGATTTGGGATTTTAGCCCCTACCAAACTCAATTAACTTTTCAAGCAAGTTAAGATGGAATAACTTAATTTTCTTTTTTGTTACTTGCTATACACATGTTGATTAAAATGTGTACAAAATTTCATTCCATGTTGAAGTTTGCTTTCGAAGTTATACACTTTTTCTCAAATGTTCCTTAATTTTTGTTGACTAGTTTAGCTATCGCCTGCCCCTTTTGAAACCAACGAAACCCTGCTTGTTCCACTGCCCTTTACTTTATCGGTTTACATTATTTTATGCCTTTTCGTCCCTAGTTCAGCACTATTCTCAATGTCAATATTTTCAGGTGATTTTTGTTCATTGGTTCGTAATCGCAAACGTTTTGCAGATTGGGCTTTTTATTGATTTTTCATCCAAATATGCTAGGATCAGCCGTTTGTCCTCAACCGAGGAGCCCTTCTATTGCTCCGCTATGGTTCACTCTCTACTACAACAACTTCACCAAGACCTAACTGTGCAGAACATCGGCAAGCTGCTGCATAGTGCGTAATCTCTGTTGAAGAGAAAGCGCTGACACACGTAGCGACAATAGGGCCCTATTGGCTACGTGCCTTCACAAGCAGACTCTCCGCTCGCATGTCTAAACCAAATCTGCCACTCTATGAAATCTAAAAATCAGGACCTCAGGGGAAAAAATCGGGACCAACGACAAATCACCAAGGTGTCTAGCTAGCTGAATAAAAAATTTTCCAGGGGTGTCCATATATAATTATTTGCATGTATAGGCCCTCTGCACGCGCGCGTGTGTGTTTTAGTTTTAGTATTATTCTTTTAAATTCTGAAGTATCATGTCAAGGATTCCTAGTCCAAATGTCTTACCCCCCCCTTCCCCCCTCCCCGCCCCTCGAGATCCCCGTAAGCCTCAAAAGATGCTTCAACCAGTGTGCATGAACTTAAGTTGACCCCGTCAACGGACGGTCCCTGACAGTCCTGATACACGCGAAACTCGGACGCCGAAGTCAATTCACGTGATGCGAATGCACAATTGAAAGTTTTACTCACGGGTCTTGATGACGCATTCGACTAAACAGAACTTGGGAGTTGGAAAAAGCTTGTTTTGAAAGTAACAGCAGAACTATGAATAATATTGATCATTTGTACGCCGCAATTGAAACAGTTATCATGCCATCATCAGAGAATTCTGAAATTACGGGTCCGGTAGCCTTAGAACAACTAGGCTACATCGCAACTAAAGTGAGCAGGCGAGATCTAGGTCTACTGCTGAACACTTCTGTGTCTATGAAACAAACCCGTCCTTGGCCTACATCTCTAAGCTACACTACTGCCCCCAGCTTGGGCCTATTGAGAGGTCATAGGCCTCCCCGCCTACTGTGTGCCTCTCTCTCTCTTCTCTCTCTCTCTCCACGGCTACATCAGTAAAACGAAATCTGCCGCTGTCTATAGCACTATAGGCAAGCATGTAATTCTAAGATCTATCCTGGATGTCGCCGATTTTTTCCCTCACTATGGACGAAATGTCAAGTCTTTGTGTGTGTTTTCATACACAGAATAATATAGGCTCCAAGACAAAATTCAGGACCTCAAATCATGTTTGTTATATGTATATATACCTATTATTGCATCTTATCTACATTTCAGGAAAGAATGAATTTCCTTTTCTTTTTTTAAAAAAAACTAAAACACAATCTTTAGTTTGACCTTGACGTGCTTGTGCTTGTCCAAACGACCCACAAACATGAACCAAAGATGTCAAAACCAGCCACAAATTGCAAAGTACAGTTAAACCTGGGGAAATCACAGAGCGGTCTTGCCAGATCAATAACATGAGGTAGTAGTGTACTGCGACATAGATCTAATTGGGTTATATTTGTGCGTGCAACGCTCATTTTGGCCAGCAGGGCAAGCTGAGACAGACCAGCAACATTACCAAATGCAAAGAGCAAGAAACTGCGGATTGGGAGAATGACTTCCGAAATTTTTATGAAGTCGACAATTTGTCCCGAACCGAAAAAGTTGGAAATTTTTCAAAAGCCGGAATTCCGGCATAGATCTATATGCCAGAAAACTTTCAACCATGGTGACAAGAAACGTGGACCTCCTGAACCAGAAGTGCCGGCGGATGACGAATAAGGTCATTTTTTTTTGGAAGTGGCTATTCTCACCCGCCCGGAAGTTCTCGCAAGATCTACTCCTCCCCTCTTCTCTCTCTTTCTGTCTCTTTCTGAATACTGTCTATCGGTGTGGACGATCAAATTGACCAAAACAAAGTTAAAAAATGATGTTAAAACACAAAGGTAAATTAATTTGGGGTAAATTTTTACTTTCACTCCCGCACACAGATGTACTGTTTCAGGGGTCAAACTGCTGTACTGTTTGCTGCAGATCACACATAAAGCCACTAAAACTGTCGCAAATCAATTATTTTCAAGACAATTTCAAATCTAACTGTAAAATATCAAATTATGGGTGTAAAAACAGGGGGGCATGCCCCCCTGTAACCCCCCAGATTTTCTTTTACCCCAGTGGGGCAGGCCCCCCTGGAACCCCCCGATTGGTCCAAAGCATGTCTATCTCGGTTAAAAACAATCAAATATTTCAAAAACCATTAATTTGCGACGGAAATGAAGTTGATATTCGTGTTCAGCGCATCAATATTTAGTAGAAAATAGACAACTGGTAGCTGAGTGTGAGACGGGAGGGAAAGTAAAAAAATACCTAATTTGGTTGTCTACAAAGATGCTACGGCTATTATTTAACTTTTCGAATCGAGCCAAATTACGCGGGTCGCCATTTTGTTTTGCCCGGAAGTTCTCGCGCTACTCCTCTCTCTCTCTCTCCACTGCCCACAGACAAAATTGTACGCTTTTAGTAGGCTAAAGTTGTAATGGAACGTTTGTTCACGGCACAGAATTCTACAATTTTTCTGTTATCACAGTGTAGAATTCTGTGGTTTAGGGTGAACGCAAAATTTGTTGGCCTAGATCTAGGCTATAACAGTGAACGCGCACCGGGTGAGAATACTATTCTCACCCCGAGGTGGCCTTTTTTTTTTAGTTAAAGTTAAAGCTCAGTTTTAGGAATTTTTTTTGCTAATGCATGCTTCTGTAGTCATTAGGGGGGTTTCAGGGGGTCTCCCCCTGACATGCGAGTACGTAATAGCTGTGTAGTAGGGCGGGTAGGGGGGGGGTAGAAATAATATGGCATGCCGTAACATCTAAACTAACCATTTGCGACATTTTTCAACGCCAAAATCATGTTCAGTTCACGGCCCTAAAAAAACCATGAGGGTTAGGTTTAGGGTTTGGGTTAGGGTTAGGTAGGGACCAAAGCGAAATATGCCTGAGCCCTGAGGGTATGAAAAACGCACATTGGAATTAAACGCGGGAATCTTAACAATCGCCAAATAAAACCCTTTATGAGACGGGTGGGTTTCTATACATTTACCCAGCCTAACCCTAAAATCAAAATCGAAGTTCCTGGAATCCTGAAATCCCCAGAATAGATCTGAATCTGACATTGACAGGTCACAGTAGACTCTAGACACTCTACATCTAGATCTAGATCTAGATCTAGATCTAGATATAGATCTATATCTAGATCTAGAATCTAAATCTAGATCTAGTCAGTAATTCAGTAATTCTGGCAGACAAGAATAAGATTGACAAAAAAACAAGTCATCCTTGATTCTCTAATCTTTTCTCATTTATCCCACCTGGGCATTTTCAGTTTTGAATATCCTCAACAACCGAGGCCCGTAAAATGTCCATAACAACTTTGAAGCCATGATTTCCGTTTGATGAAACTGGCCACAGTCTATCAATGCATTATAATGTCAAGAAGAGGTTGTTTTCACTGGAAAGTGGAATCTGTACTTTCCCCACTAACTTCACTGGCGATGTAAAAAGTTTGACTTGGAACTCTCCACTTGCCGATCACTCTATAACTTCCTGTTAAAATCATAAAGTGGATCGACAGGCCTAATACCGAAAGAAAACAACTGTATAATTAATAATTACAATACAAGTTTATATATAGTCATTAAAATCAAAATTTAGCTTGATGCAATTCACACTCGTATGGTCAACAAAATAGTACACGACACGAGAGCTAGCAGCTGTGACGTCATTCACGTAAATAAACAGGGGATGCATGTCAGGGGCGGCCATGTCAGAGAGGTACAGTCGAACCTGCCCTGACGGCCACCTCTATAAGACGACCACCTGTACAAACGGCCATTTTCCATTTCCCCCTTTGCGTTTTTTCTATATAATTTAACTGTGTAAAACGGGCACCTGTCCAACGCGGCCGCGGCCACCTTATTTCAACACATAACCCCTATCACACTAAGCAATAACACCCGTCTAAGACGGCCACCTTAGTGACTCCATTTCGTTTAGTCATAAATTGTGCTTTGGCCCCTGGCGTTGTGGGCAAGCCGTCATAGTTCAATCCCCTGTCGTTGTTGTTAGGTAGTCCCTTGGAGTAACTATTATTAGGAGAGGCCGCGAGTCGCGTAACGTGAAGCCGCTTCAGACGACTGTCGGCCATGTTTGTGAGATCAGCTCAGTTCTCTCAGTTGTAAACTTACTGTCAATCGAATGGCAGTTTGCGTAGCGTTCGGGTCCGGTGGGCCTCTCATTCAAAGGTCCCGGGTTCGAATCCGAGTAGTGACGGAAAAATGTTATTCTCTAAAATTCTACTTTCTCTTTCGTCTGCTATCGTCTCCACTTTCTGCCCCTACCTCCTCAGGGCTTCGCACTCTTTCTGCAGCCTTTCTACTGCTACTCCTTGGCTCCTTCTTACTTCTGTCTTTCAGCCACACCCCTGATCTTCTGGTAGGAAAGATCTACCCCTAGCCTTCTCGGACAAGGGCGAAAAAATCTCGGAGGCTCGACAGAGGTCGCGTATGCAAGTTGCGCAAATTAAAGGTCCTTTAGTGGTCTAAAATCGATAAGAGTAGGCTTCGGTCGCCACCCGCGCAAAATTCAAAATTTCCTACCAACTTAAAATGTTTAATGTGTACCTCGCACTCATATGACTTATGCAGTCGCGAGTGCCGTAAAACACTTATAAGGCCTACGAAAAATGTTTTTAAAAATATCAGTCTCTAGCAATGGCACTGAACTTGATGACGAAGTGCCTTCTGATTTAGCCGTAAATGCATCTCACAGTAAAAACAGAACGAAAAAAGATTGCACGTTTGTGTCTAGATCTAGTCTGGCATACTTGTCAATTTACTCTGAGAATACTGTTGCTTAAATGGCTGGTTTTGTGTTGTTAAGGTTTACAAAGCATTTGAAAATGTGAAACCTTCATCGGTGCCTTAGTTGACTCCAGTGTGTCAAATGTAACTTCCTTGCTGTTTTTGAAGTCTCGTCGGAGGTTTGACAGTGCCTTCAAAGAATGTCATTGAAGTGTGTTTGATGTGTGAATAACATTTTCGATGTCATGTGTCGTCTGTCTGTGCAGGGGGTGTGACATTGTCAAAAGAGAAATGTCACAAATTAGTGCAATCTGTCTTGAAATTCTTCTTATTATAAGCCTATCATTTCAAATTTTCTATTAATTTTTCAATACACTTAACAGTATTTTGTAAAATTTAGATAAAGTGTCTGGGTGTTTTAAAGGTGCCCTTCCCTCCTCGTTTTATTTGGGGGGGGGGGCTGTTTTATTCTTTTTTTTTCCAGGGTGGGGGGGGGTTAATTTCCACCATCATACTTCACTCTTATCTGCCTTGCCCTCTCCTTCCTCTTTCTTCGCCCATCTCATCACACCCTCACTACCATCTTTTGTGTAATCATTTTCAATTTTGTTTTATATATATATATAATATATATATATATATATTGTTGTATGTTTAAGTCAAGGAGTCTACGTTTTAGTAAAAATAATGTCAGTAATGACATTATTTTGCACTGATGAAGTTCTATGACCGAAAAGTCTGCAAATTTTGTTATCCCGTTTATATTTTTGTTTTGATCCTTATTATCCCAATTTCTCCTCTAAAACAAGTTTAAAAAATTATCTTACCGTCACAATGTGTATACATAGTACATGTATTACTAAATGTTCGACTGAGTGAGCTGGTAATTTGATGCAAGTAAGATTTCTTAACTTCCTTATTGTATTACAACTGTGCATGGGTGCTTATAATGCTGTAATTAACATTGACAAAGAAATTTCGAGAGAAAATGGAGTCCGAGCAGCTTGTTTTGAAAGGAGATTACGCACCTTACGCTGCATTGTTTTGAACTTACAAAGATGGCGGCAGGCCCGATAAGCTCCGCCCTTTCGGCTTCAACTTGGTTGGAACTGTTGGGCGGGCGACGCAACGTTAGGGCCTCTCCGTATATTATAGTTACTCCAAGGGTAGTCCCTCCAACCGATCATGTTGCGTAGGCCCCTCCTACTGTTGACCAATAGCTACCAATTTTCAGCTGCTGGTGAAGTAAGCGTGTGATCCCTCATAACCCATAAGCCCCGCCCAGAACTTAATTACAAATCGTAAGCGAGATGAGTGGTCACTGTTTACCCAGTCTGTAACAAAGTAACAAAGGACGTCAATGGTCGTCAACATGAACTTGTGACAGAAACGTCGCTCGTTCTCCGAGTGGTGGCGACACAGGAGTTTGTTTTTACTTCGCACTCGGTCTTCCTTGTCTGATACATTTCGTTTTATTGTCACCCTTTTGCGAAATCAGCAACAAAACAAAAATTACAAACAAAATACAAACCACCACCACCACCAACAACAAAAACAACAATGCGGCTACTTTCGATTGGGACCTCTGATAGGAATAATTTGTTTTCTTCTTCTTGATCAGTCCTGCCTAAGACGGCCACCTGTCTTATACGGCCACTTTTCTCCTTGACAATGGGTGGCCGTCTTACACAGGTTTGACTGTATAGCCAAAGAGTTTACAGTAGGCCTAAGCTCCTTGCAGGGCCGTCGAGGTGCTTTTCCCTTTCGTCAACCCGCAGCCACCTCCCGAATCGTCAGCCACCCCCCAACCTTTGACACGGGTCAAACTTCCATCTATTTATAGTTTATAGGTAGTTACCGGAACATTATAGGTGAAGTGATGTGCCGTGATAGTCGCGATATATTATTTATTTGAGATTGTTTTGGTCTCTCTTTACTCATCACCACGAGAATTTCTTGAAGTTTTTCCCTGGACTCTGCCTTTACTAAAATCTCGAATCTAGATCTAGACCTAGAGTTGTAATCTAGTGGCAGGTTGCAGATTTCTGTTGTTATCCAGTACATTCAAGAGATTAAATAAATTGGACTAGACTCTAGTAGTAGACTCTTCTACTTCTACTTCTAAACCTTCGAGATTAGGCCTACAAAGGCCAAGCCTAGGCTTGTAATGATTCGTTTTGTTAAAAGTGTTGTTTAACACAAAGTCTATGAAGTTAGCAAACCTAACACAATGTTTTCTGACGAAATGAAGCTTAAATTGACTTTTATATTGCCAATAAGAGATCAAGTTTAATCACCTAATCTTTTAAGTAAGGAAGTGGCTATCCTCACCCGGGGTGAGAATAAAAACCCTACGATTGACCTCTCACCCCGAGTGAGACTTGCCAGCGTTGGCTATTCTCACCCAGTGTGAAACAAGACCTGTTTTTCCTAATTTCGAAATGCTTTCTATCGGTGTGGATGATCAAATTGACAAAAGCAAAGAAAAAATGACGTTTTAGCACAAAAGTAAGCTAATTTGATCGTCTACAAAGATGCTATGGCTCTTTCACTTTTCGAATCGACCGAACTACGCGGGTCGCCATTTTTTTTGCCCGAAAGTTCTCGCAAGATCAACTCCTCCCCCTTCTCTCTCTCTCTCTCTCTCTCTCTCTCTCTCTCTCTCTCTCTCTCTCTCTCTCTCTCTCTCTCTCTCTCTCTCTCTCTCTCTCTCTCTCTCTCTCTCTCTCTCTCGGCAATTTATTAAATCTGCAACCTGCAATTAGATTACAACTAGATCTAGATTCGAGACTTTAGTAAAGGCAGAGTCCAGGGAAAAACATCAATTAAATTCGTGTGGTGCAGATGAGTAAAGAGAGACCAAAACAATCTCTCTATTGCGACTACCATTGCACATCACTTCGCCTAATACATGTTCCGGTAGATTTAACTACCTATAAATAGATGGAAGTTTTACCCGTGTCAAAGATTGGGGGTGGCTGACGATTCGGGAGGTGGCTGCGGGTTGACGAAAGGGAAACGCGCGCCGTCGAGAGCCTGGTCGGGCCTAGGGACAGCAATCACCTTCGGGCCCCTCCTCCCCCCTGCCCCACCGTCCTTGGGTATAGCCAAGACCGAAGATGTCCGTCTTGGGGTATTGCCAAGGAGATTAAAAGTTAGATAAGTTCTAAACTCATTGGGTATTGCCTATAATAGCCAAGACCTACAGTCATTGTTGTGGGCCTACTAACTTCTTACGCCGTCACGCTGCGCGTTACTCGCAGCGCCTATTATAAGGTCTTCATAGAGTGTGAAGCGTTGAACTTACAGTGAGCCCTTAGTTCAATTTTCTAAGAGCTTTAAAAAAAATATTGTTTGCTGCTGTTGCGTTGTAACATATTATGACGTATGCCTACGTGCATATAATATACAATACCACGTTCAACTTCTGGCTGGTTTTGGAAAACATTATTGCACTTAAACGTGGGCTAAAAATGAACGATAGACATAGAAATATTATTATGAATAAACGTTTGTTTGTTTTTCCCATGTGGAGGTTGGGGAAGGGATACAAAGTGAGTGAATGAGTTTGTAAATAAAATCACTTTAATACCTACAAAATGGAATGCCTTTTCATCATACGTTGGCTACACTCTCCTTCTTCTGAAGCAGGAAGAGGATTGTTTTCGTCAAATTTTGACGT